TCATTCTAAAAGCTGTTGGGTGAATGGCTCCATCCCTTTGGATGGTCTGATTTAACCAGTCTCCAATTGTTGGACACATGGAGTACATCCAATTTTTCACTCGTGTAAATGATGCTACCCTGAACTCTGTATTCAACTTTCTCCATATTCTGGATCACTTCTTTAGGAACGATGTGTGCTTAAAATGCTCCCCTGCCCTGGTCCCTGGAGAGGTCTCACTACATGACACATTTCTGTGTGGGAGGCCACTCTACCCCATCAGGTCAGCTCCTTCCCATCCCTTCAGGGCTCATCTTCCAGGAGACAGTGTTTACATTCTCAACATGAAAGCCTGGAGTTAGAACAACACAACAACAAGAGTGGGTCATCTCCTGGACTAACCTGTTGGGTATCTGGGGGAGAGGAGCTAAACACTGAGTGGGGTAAGCCTTGGGCGGTGTAGCTGCTCTTCTTTCTGGGAGCTGAGTCCAGTAGGGCTTGTGCCTCCAGTTTGGAGCCTAGAGTGAGCAAGTGAAGGGCAGTCACCAGAGAGGAATGAGAGGGACATAGATGGGGAAGGAGCATGGGGTCTGGCTTTGAGGAACTTGGGCTTGGTTGAGAACTTGCACAAACACTGCCCAGACCCTGGTTTCTACTAATGTACGCTTCTCTCCCTTCCTCCCTGTTTCTACTTTTCCCCTTCCCTCCCTCCTTCTCTGGCACTTGTCACATGAATTTGGTGGTTCTTTGGCAGAGTCCGGTATTGCAGTATCTCTACTACCTTGCTCAGATCCCCATTGCGATGTCACCTCTTAGCAACAATAGTCTGTTCCTCGAATATTCCAAAAATCCTCTGAGGGAATTCCTGCACAAGGGACTGCACGTTTCTCTCTCCACCGATGACCCCATGCAGTTCCACTACACGAAGGTAAGAATTTTTTTGGAAGGGGCAATGGTGCTCCCATCAAGCATCAGTTTTGGCCTGTCCTCTCACTGCAAGGTCCTGAATGCATGGGCCAATTATCTTTGGAGACGGTGCTGGTGGGGTAGTAAGCCACTGGGGAGGGTCTATTCCTTCCAGAAGCCCTCTCTTTGGGGTTCTTGAACTCTTCAAAGCACAATTTCATTTCTTTGCCCTTCTCTCTTTTTCCCATTCTTTGACACTTACTAGCTCTGTGACTTGGCGAAATTACTTGAACTCTGAATATTTTTCCTCCTTATCTGTACAATGGGGTAACATTGTCTCTCTCTAGTTCTACCTCTACCTTATTGTAAGGGTTCATTAAGATAATGAGACCAAGGGTCTAATATAGTGTCTGTATATAGCAAGTATTCAGAATGTTGCTTTTTTTTTCCCACTACTACTATTGTTATTGTTATTACTATTACTAAGTTTGGATCTCTGGCAAAAGAGGAACGGACCATGGGGCCAGCCATAAGTATACCTAGGACATTTTGACGGTGTTCGTAAGATCAACCACTGATTAGCAAAAATAGAAGAGACAAAGTATTTTTTTAGGACAGTGGTTCTCAAACCTTTTGGTCTCAGGACCCGTCTATATTCTTAAAAAATGAGGCCCTCAAAGAGCTCTTACTTATGTGAGTTATGTGTATTGATATTTATTGTATTAGAAATTAAGTGAAAAATTTAATTCAATTAAATATTAATAAATGAATTGTATTACAATTTTTGTGCAAAATAGTATTTTCCAAAGCCAAAAAAAAGTACTGAGAAAAGTGGCATTCTTTTATGTTTTGCAAATCTCTTTTATGTCTGATTTAAAGAAGACAATGGATTCTCATATCTGCTTCTGCATTCACTCTGTTGTGGACCACATTTTCATGGTATATGAAGAAAATCCAACCTTACACAGCTATATAGTTGGAAAAGGGAGAAACATGTGGATCCCAAAAAGTCTTGAAGACCCTAAGGCATCCTTGGACCACACTTCTGAAAACCACTGCTCCAGGAATCAGAAGCAATGGGGCAGGGGTGATGGAAGGGCTGGTGATTAATACACACCATTTCACATCCCAGAAGATATACAGCACGACCACAGCTCAAACCCCAATCCTTCGGAGTTTACACTATCTCACTACTCATACTGTGACTATTTCTCATTCTTATTTTAATGTTTCATTTCTGTCCTTGGCATTTTATTCATTGACTTTTCTATTTGGATAGTCTTCAAATGGCATGTTAAATAAAAAGCATTACTACAGAACTCCAAAGAACCAAACTCACTGCCGTCAAGTCAATTTCGACCCACAGTGACCCCCCTTTGGGTTTCCGAGGAGGTATCACTATGGAAGTAGATTGCCAAACCTTCCTTCTGAGGAGTGGCTCATGGGTTTGAACTGCCAGCCTTCTGTTTAGCAGTGAAATGCCTTAGGCACTATGCCACCAGAGCTCCTAACACTACAGAGCAGGTACTAAATATGCGCATGACAAGGTGGATTGTCACAGGAGGGCATAGACTGGTATCCCCAGTGCCTGGCTCAGGGCTTTAAATATCACAGGCACACTCAACTGCAGCCCAACAAGGAAATGTATAGGTGTTCTTTCTTTCTTTTTTTTTTTTTTAAACTCTGGTAACTTGAGATTTCATTCAAAGGATGATGTTGTATGCTGTCAAGTCGACTCCAACTCACAGGCGTGATGTTGCTTGATTATCAAGGTGCCAGTTATTGAAGAAAAATTAGATATGCTTGCTAGATGCTTAATATTTCTAACTTTGGAAATATGTTTAGCGTTGAAATGAATACTGCACATCTAATAAACCTCCTTTTGGGGGAGGGATCTAGGAAGCACTTATGGAAGAGTATGCGATTGCAGCCCAAGTGTGGAAGCTGAGCACGTGTGACCTGTGTGAAATTGCCAGGAACAGCGTGCTGCAGAGTGGCCTCTCACATCAGGTACAGTGTGTGCCAAGACTGCCCTCTGTCCCTCCCATCCTTTCAGCAAATGTACAGTGAATGCCCACTGGTGGATCAGTGATGAACAACACAGACTGGGTCTCTGTTGCAGTGAAACTCAAGCTCTAGGAGATTCTCAGATCTCTACTCCAATGTTAGATCTCTACTCTAATGTCACCTCCTTGCTCCTGACTGTTGTTGTTGTTATGTGCCTTTGAGTTGGACCCGACTCATAGCGACCCCTCCTTGGGTTTCCAAGGCAGTATCACTATGGAAGTAGATTGCCCCATCTTCCTTCTGAGGAGTGGCTGGTGGGTTTGAACCGCCAGCCTTCTGGTTAGCAGTCAAGTGCCTTAGGCACTATGCTACCTGAGCTCCTAATGCTCATTCTAAAGTAGCCACATCCTTCCCATCATTTTCTATCCCCTCTACTGACATTGTACTCAATATTTAGGGCAGGGACTGTTTTGTTCGGCTTTCTATTTCCAGGACCTAGAAAAATCCTTGGTACTTAGTAGGTATTCAACGTTTCTTGAGTAGATGACTAGTACCTAGATTGAGTTTAAAAACTCGAGGGATGGGGCCTGGGCATCAGTATTTTTTTAAGCTCCCCCTTTTTTAAGGTGTTACAGATTAAATTATGTTTCCCCAAAATATGTATTGTTAAATTCTCAGCTCTATGCCTGTGGTTGTAATCCCATTTGGAAATGGGTTGTCTTTTTATGTTAATGAGAAATGATTAGCGTAAGGTGTACCCTGAAGTAGTCTCTTTTGAAATATAAGACATTAAACAAGCATGCAGAGGGACAGATGGTGTAAGATAGATGCCAAGACACGCGGAGATCTCCAACAAACGAGGAAGCAGAAGCTGAAGAGACAAGGTCCTTCCTCCGGAGCAGACGCAGAGGGAAAGCCTTCCCTAGGGCCATGCTGAGTTCAGACCTTTAGCCTCCTAAACTGTGAGAAAATAAATTTCTGTCAAAGCAATCCAGTTGTAATATTTCTATGAAGCAGCACTAGATAACCAAGACACTAGGTGATTCTAATGTGGAGCTTGGGTTGAGGACCATTCTTTTAGATGGTAGCATGGTAGCTTGGGCCCCGGGGAAACTCCCCCAGATGATGCCACTGGCACAGGAAGAAGGCTGCCTCAGGTGACGTTATTGTTGGATGATGATGCAGAAAAGAGTAAAATGCTCAAAGATCTTGTTACGTGGGAGTGCTTCTTGGCGTAGCCCTAACACTTGACTGCCTTCTTGTTAACTCTCAGGAGGGACTTCTTAGTCTTAACACATTGGTCTTGCCTTGCCCATCCCCAGCAGCTCCTCCAGTCCTTATCTTTTTCCTTCTGATAAAGGAAAGCAGAGTCAGCAGTGAAGGTAATGAATGTAGTTACCAGGGTGACATTCTGAGGATGTGAAGGACAGGAGGAGTTGTATAAAAGCCTTATGGGGAAAGATGTCCTGAGTGAGGATCTGTCTTGAGGGAACAGGTATTCTTTGGCTAATCTTAAAGTTGTCTATGTGGATATAAAAAAGTGACTCTAAGGTATACTGTTTCATTTGTATTTTATTGGTTTACAGGAAAAACAAAAGTTTCTGGGACTAAATTATTATATAGAAGGACCTGAAGGAAATGACATTCGAAAGACAAATGTTGCTCAGATCCGGATGGCATTTCGTTACGAGACCTTATGCAACGAGCTCAGCTTCCTGTCCGATGCCATGAAATCAGAAGAGATCACAGCCCTGACCAAAGAGGTCCATGGGACATGCATTTGAACTTTTTGGTTTAATTTCAGGTCTGCTGTGACTAACAGTGGTCAAGATACCAAACTAGGACTTTACTCCATGGAGAGGATGCCTCTGAAGAACTTTCAAACTAGTGATTTTTGGTTGCACTGTTCACTTTAAGATCTAACATGCCCACTTCTGTTCATGTGTCTGAGTAATAGATGATGACTTTTCTTTGGAGATCAGGGAGCTGGGCACTTGTCTGAACACGTTCCTAGTTTTCCAAATATTTCTTTAGAAACCGCCAGTGCATATGTTGTAGGGGCCAGGATTTTCCAGTCAAATGCCAGGTGATATGAGGATTGTGTGGTTTTTGTCCTCCTCTATAGGCCCTGTAAGCTGGTTGGTAGTCGTTCATTTCAGCCTTGGTGGGCTGGCTGCCTTAAAATCCATTTCAAAGCTCCCTTTCATAAAGGGGCTATTTTGAAAAAATTAAAATAGAAAAATTGTTTTGACAATTTGTGTTTTTTTAAAATGAATTTCTTAAAGTGTTTTATTTAGGCCCCATTTCTATTTAGGAAGCCAAATGTTTCCTCATCTAAAAAGTGAGGGTTTTAAGACTAGCTGTATAGTTTTCAAATGGTATTCTGTGAATTCTCATCACAGACCACTTCAGGGTCAGGGAGGGAAGGGGTAAGTGTGTTTCTGGGTGCTGCCCTTATTTTTTCAAAGTGACTTTGCTTTCATCAGTCTTGTACTGGAGCTTCTGGATAACATTTTCATTTGAACTAATGATTTCTGGGGAAAAACTCTGAAAAGCACACGGTTAGATGATCTCTCAAGAGCCCTGGTAGCACAATGGTTAAGTGCTCAACGGCTACCTGAAAGGGCAGAGGTTTGAACCCATCATCAGACACTCTGTGGGAGAAAAGACCTGGTGATCTGCTCCCATAAAAATTTATAGCAATGGGTCAGTTCTCTGCCCTTTAGAGTTGCTAGGAGTCAGCACTGACCCAGTAGACTAGACAGCAGATGATCTCTGTTCCCTTTGGCACTAATATTCTGTAACTGAAGCCCAAGTCTAATTTGACTGATTCAGAGTTAGGGCCAGAGAAGTGAAATTTGCTTCAGGTAATAAGACCAGATAGAACTAAGTTCCCTTACTTCTAATCCAGTCATTTTCCCACTGTTCCATTAGGTCTCATAAATGTTAGTTCCCCCTACCCTCACCCCAAATCACTGCAACCTGACACATATATCTTTTTAAAAGGCAAAACCTCTCCCTTACCTAATACCCAGACTTCTTGAGAAGACACAGTCCCAAGGGCCAGGAGGGAAGTAATTTTGAAGACCAATCTAAATTTAAGCTTTACTGATGTATTCTTCTTCTGTATTACTAGCACCTGGTATGTAGTAGGTGCTCAATAAATGTTGAATCACTGAATGAATTTTTTTTTTTGGCAATTTTTAAAGTATATGTGCTCCTCAAGAATATGTATGTCTCGACAAGCTCCTCAAGGATCTTCCTGTCTATTTCTGTGGGCATATTTAGCCTATAGGAGATCCTTTTTCAGTCGTTATAAAGTTAGAAGAACCTGATTTTTGCGTGTGAATATATTTATTTGAATTTAAATCGTCTTGTCCTGTAACCTCATAATGCTTGTCCCTTTCACTGGTCAACTTAGCATACAGAACTTACAGTCTTACACTAGGCAAACATACATGCTCATCTAATAGCTAATCATGAAATGGAATGAAAACCCAGTATTTATCCTAGGAATTCATCATTTTTTGAAAGCCCTCATTTGTATACATTTGCCCTAACATAGAAAGTATTATACAGTTTGTCATTGCCATTTTTCTGTACCAAGAATTTTTTAAAGAATTATTAAATAAAGTTTGTCAGGACAGTGGATCAATGAATTAAAACTATTTCAATTTCATTATTATTTAAAACAAATATCTGCTTTTTATTTTAAGACTGGACATTCATGAAAAGCTATCAATAACAATTGCTAATTTATTTTTGGGAGCTCTGGCAGCATAGTGGCTAAGACACTTGCCTGCTAACCAGACGGCTGGCGGTTCAAACCCACCAGCCACTCCTCGGAAGGAAGGT